AGTTCAAGGGGTATGAATACTTTTGCAAACCACTGTATATGGATTTAATTACGATATTAGAATGATCCAGGTATCAAAATGTAGCTTTTAAAGCCAAGAATCTGAAAATGTAATTAGGTCATTTTGACCAAATTTGACTTAATCCTTATTTCGATATGATGGGTCACATATTTTGAACTTATTTTACATGAGTGAGTCTAGTTCGTGTTGGACCCAACAGAACCGTGGTACCCAAGCTACTGTCTCACCTGACATACATCCCAACTGCGTACGCACAGAGGAAAGAGTAGTCCATGGCTCCCAGCAGCTGTTTGTAGTTGCTTTTATCTGAGAACAGGAAAGCGTTTTGTAAGTGAATTTGTACTATTTTTCTGATTTAATTACAAATATTTTATAGGAAATTCTACATATAGAGTAATGATAAAACTAACCTTGTTTCATCAAGTGCAACGTTACTTTTCCATTGCCATTGCTGTGATTTCTTTTTTTTTGTAATTGTAGTAAAACAAACACAAAGACATAATATGCAAACAAAATGTCTTATTTATCCAACTAATGCTAAGCTGAAAGTCAAAGTTTTCAGTAGCATGATTATGGTAAAGACTGTCACTAACATTTTATACAACTTATATCAACTTATGAAAATTGTGTTATTTTACTCATATCGACTATATATTTGATCTAACTGTTAGCATTACAGTATGTACAGGTCCACAAGAGGCTTACTGTAGATTTTTCCTAAATTCCATCTTCAGCTTAGACATCTTTAGTTTTGGACAAACTATAAGTTTTCTAAAATGTTTGAGTGTGACAGGGGCTTTATGGTGAGTGGGGAAAGATAAAGAACCTATTTGAGCGTGGACCTCGCACGTAGGCCCACTGCTTTCCCACAGGCATCACAGACCATTGTCATGAAGTTCCATCACCATTTTGTGGTGGTTGAGCAGGTTATGCCCAGTTAGAACTCACACCAGTGTAGTTGAAGTCTACCCGTCAGGGTAATGAGAGCTTTCCCAAACCTAAGATTTGGGAAAGTGAGCCTGACTGCCAGCTTTGCAAGGTAGTCGGCTCTCTCGTTACCATTAATACCAGTATGCCTGGTACCCATTTAACAGTAATGCTATCTCTCCAAAGCTGGCTGACTGCTTCGGCACACTCCCAAGCCTGCATGACGTTAGCTCGTTAGCTGAACGTGCGTTTAATAAACGCGTTTATAGTTGTGATTTCTTGTTTCTGTGTGCAAATAATAATATAATCTTTACGTGAAAAACCCTTTTGAAATTTAAAACATAATAAAAACTTCCAACGTGATACATTACTTCAATAAAGACTTGTCRTGCAGTATACACTGATTTGTCTTAAATAAAAAAGCAATAGAAAAGCAGTTATCTTACTAGATGTAAACTTAATCAGGTTAAACTAATTGCATTAGGTGCTAAAAATCACAAGTATAAATGCACACAGGTAAATAAAATTTTAGCTTAACACCTCTGAGATCTAAAAACAGCTTCCAAAGATAGTTAAAGTTGAATATGGTAATCGAAAGAGATGTTTTCTTTTTTTAAAATACCAGTTTCAAAAATAAATCTTTTTAAAGCTGTAATCATAATACCGTGATACCGTGAAACCGTGACACTTTTGTCCGACGCTATTACACTGTCACATTTTCATACCGTCCCATGCCTAGCTATGAGTCTGATGAGCCGCCTACCAGACTGGTGTAGCCTTACTGCACTGGATGCGGACTCCCCTAAGATGTAAATCTAGTGGACCTGACCCCACTAGGACTTCAAGGGCTGCCATGGGTGTTGTTCTGATGGAACCTGTCATGTTCAGGCAGGCCATTATTTACACGAGTGAGCATCACTCTTGCTCTCTTCTACTGTAGATCTATTCGTTTCTCTTCTAGATCCATCTGATAACCATTGGGGTAGCACCCCAATAACTACCTGAAATTCTACAGAACCAGTATAAACACATTACTGCCTTCTTACACTTWTCATTTGCATGTCTTCTCCAGTTAAGTTTCCTGTCTAGATAGACACCCAAATATTTAACAGACTCTGACAAGGAAAGTTCTAAATTTTCCAATATTGAAAGTGAATAACCCTTCCTTCCTAATATAATGCTGACAGGTTAGAGACAGACCGGACCTAAATCAAAGGTTAGCGATGAACGAGACCACCACCTGACAGACTTCTGTTATCCGTCAGGTATTAAGAGTATTAAAAGAAACTCCACCTGCTCCCAGCCTACTTTCAAAAAGAAGAGCTGCTTGGACTAAAGGAAAATGGAGAATGTAAAAACTATGACAGAAAAAACAACACCCAGCTGGGTCAAAACCAGAGAAGAAAGTTACAGAATCTTGGTGCTGTTTAGGTTGAGACAGAAAAGAGACAGAGATTGAAATCTATCAGACAATACATACTTTTAATAGTCAATGTATTTTTAGCCAATAAAAGTTTGTCTTTCAAGAGTTTTAGGCTGTAAGTGACCCAAATAACTTGAGCATGTTGTAGTACACCCTGATTGTGTGCAGTCCACCCTATTATTTTCCCARGAGCAACATCTCTATTTACAGTCATGGCCGAAAGTGTTGGCACCCCTGAATTTTTTCCAGAAAATTAAGTATTTCTCCCAGAAAATTATTGCAATTACACATGTTTTGTTATACACATGTTTATTTCCTTTGTGTGTATTGGAACAACACAAAAAACAGAGGGAAAAAAGGAAAATTGGACATAATTTTACACAAAACTCCAAAAATGGGACTGACAAAATTATCGGCACCCTCAACTTAATATTTGGTTGCACACCCTTTGGAAAAAATAACTGAAATCAGTCACTTCCTATAACCATCAACAAGCTTCTTACACCTCTCAACTGGAATTTTGGACCACTCCTCTTTTGCAAACTGCTCCAAGTCTCTCATTTATGAAAGGTGCCTTCTCCCAACAGCAATTTTAAGATCTCTCCACAGGTGTTCAATGGGATTTAGATCCGGACTCATTGCGGGCCACTTCAGAACTCTCCAGCGCTTTGTTTCCATCCATTTCTGGGGGCCTTTTTGAAGTATGCTTGGGGTCATTGTCCTGCTGGAAGACCCATGTCCTAGGACACAAACCCAGCTTTCTGACACTGGGCCCTACATTGCGACCCAAAATCCTTTGGTAATCTTCAGATTTCGTGACGCCTTGCACACAGTCAAGGCACCCAGTTCCAGAGGCAGCAAAACAACCCCAAAACATCTTTGAACCTCCACCATATTTGACTGTAGGTACCGTGTTCTTTTCTTCGTATGCCTCATTTCGTTTTCGGTAAACCGTAGAATGACGTGCTTTACCAAAATGCTCCATCTTGGTCTCATCTGTCCACAAGATGTTTTCCCAGAAGGATTTTGGCTTACTTACATACATTTTGGCAAACTGCAGTCTAGCTCTTTTATGTCTCTGTGTCAGCAGTGGGGTCCTCCTGGGTCTCCTACCATAGCGTTTCATTTCATTCAAATGTGGACGGATAGTTCGAGCTGACACTGATGCACCCTGCACCTGCAGGACAGCTTGAACTTCTTTGGAACTTGATTGGGGCTGCTTATCCACCATCCGGACTATCCTGCGTTGCAACCTTTTATCAATTTTTCTCCTCCGTCCATGTCCAGGGAGGTTAGCTCCAGTGCCATGGGTTGTAAACTTCTTGATTATGTTGCGTGGACAAAGGAACATCAAGATCTCTGGAGATGGACTTGTAACCTTGAGATTGTTGATAGTTTTCCACAATTTTGGTTCTCAAGTCCTCAAACAGTTCTTTTCTCCTCTTTCTGTTCTCCATGCTTAGTGTGGCACACACAGACACACAATGCAATGATCGAATCAAATTCTCCTTTTTATCTGGTTTYAGGTGTGTTTTTTTAATTGCCCACACTTGTTACTTATCACAGGTGATTTTGAATGTGCATCACAAGCTTGAAACAGAGTTTTTTACCCTCAATTTTGAAAAGGTGCCAATAATTTTGTCCGGCCCATTTTTGGAGTTTTGTGTAAAGTTATGTCCAATTTGCCTTTTTTTCCTCTGTTTTTTGTGTTGTTCCAATACACACAAAGAAAATAAACGTGTGTATAACAAAACATGTGTAATTGCAATAATTTTCTGGGAGAAATACTTAATTTTCTGGAAAAAATTCAGGGGCGCCAACACCTTTGGCCATGACTGTATTTGTTTGACTGATTGACTAAAGTATCAGATGACGTGAAACTCCTCTTTTCATGCAAATGTACACAGAAACCAAGGAAGAAAGCCTGAGTCAACATAAGAAACTCTGTTGCTGAACCGGCTATGTCTAAATGGAGGCTTRGGTTTTGGCAAGTATGGATAAGGGAACAAAGCCCAGCATTGCTGAACTCAACTGGTAGTGCAGTCCTCAGTTCTGGCTTATATAAACTTTCTTATTGTTTCAGATATTCTTTATATAAATGTGAAGGAAATGTTTGTGTAAGAATTTAAAATCTCTGGAACTATGAAACCGTCACATAGTAAGAGTGGAGCAGATACCAACCAAAAGGTTTCCAGCTGCAGTCCATGTTAGAGTGAAATGATAGTGGTGTGGGCTCCTGGCTCCCGGTGCTGCCTGATCCAACAGTGGCTAGTTCACTGGCTGATGAGCAGTTCTTGTGAAGCTCACTCTGTCACAGAAGAGCACCAGTCGGTTAGTGACAAAACCAGCTTCAGTGGAAACTCTGGATTCAAACACATCTCTGTTTTATAACAAACACAAAATGTCTGATTTCTCATCACATTCAGTGTAAACTTAGCAGTTTGTTTTAGTTCTCGACCAAAGAAGAAATCATCCCATAAACGGTGTTTAATAAATGTACAGAGCATTATGCTTTAAAATATCACCCAGTTTAAAGTCTGAGTCACAGCACAGATGCAATGAAAACAGCCTGTACGGGGAAAAATAAAAGACATAATGAATTCCCTTCAGGCACCTACAGTAATTCTAACCAACGTTACCTTCACAATGCTAATAGGTTTCCTGGAAAGATGGAAGCTGGTGTAGAGCAGGAAGGTGAGGGCAAACGTCAGAGCTCTGTACCTGCAGAAAAAAAAACACATGTTTATTGTCATTACAACAGTCAACATGAACTACAACATTAGAGATGCAAGATGCTCAAGGACCCCTCAATAACTTCTATGCCCGCTTTGAGGACCCCAACACAACCGTTAGCACATGGTTTAGCGCCATGATCCAATCTGCGCCAAATTTTGTGTTCACCATCAGGGAGACCTGCTCAACATGTTGGGTGTGTAGTTTAATGCAATCAATTCAGCCCCGCCCACTTTGCACACAGATCTGCACCAAATTTGGTATGCATCATCAAAAAGACCTGCTAAACACATTAAAGAGTAACTTTTTTTAATTAAAATTTTTTCATTTTATTTTTAACAATTACATACACACAACAAAGAACAAAAAAACATGCAATCAAAATAAAATCAAATGAAATGAAAGGCAGCAGAAGAATAAATCTTATATCCACCTCTTTTTATATCCAAAATATGTTCAAAATAAAAGTAAATTAAAACAAAAATCAAAACAACTGAAACCACACAAAAAACTAAAAACAAAGTGATCCAGGGAGATAAAACGTGTCGGTCCCAGACTGAGCTGTCTTGTTCATTTTAAATGAAACATGGTATATGTGATGAAACTTTACTTTTTACAAAACATAAATTGTTTAGAACAATCAGAAATGTTAGCTTGTCAGATTAAGCTAGCTGTCACGTTCCCTCGTCCTGACCACACCTCCTTGCTCATCCCCCCACACTTTAGGCTGTGCCCATCAGTACGGATGCAAGATATATCGGCATTCATATCGGTATCGGCCGATATTGATCATCTTTTAGTATATCGTATCGGTCCGATAYGTAAAACTTGGGCAATATTAACTCTGATATTGATTTCCCACTTTTCAGTATGATTCGTTTCCCATCCAAGTCATCTCGACTTTGGCATGCTTCTCCTCCTGCATACTTTGTCCTAGAGCTGCCATTGTAATTTAAATTTGTAAAGCTCCTGTGCCAAATGATTGCTATGCATTTTGGTGCCTGTACAACCTATAGTTTTTGGAATATTAATGTTTAAAATCAAATAATGGGAGTTAATGGAGCCTTGTATTGGTCCAATACTGCCCCATGCTGTATCTACTCAGTACTGCACCATAGTTTAATAATATTTAAACTCAGTAGATCAGTGTTTACAATACAAACATGATTGTATTTTAATATTTCACTACAATATTGTCCTAATATTTCTTTATTGTTGTAATGTGTTGCAGTTTAGTGTCAACAATTGCATTGGCAATATGGCCTCTTTCAGCACACGTACAAACCTAACACTGGGAGTGACTACTGCATCAGCTCCTATAGTCTCATGGTGAACACTATGGGCTTTCATGTGGGAGATCAGGGTTCAATCCCAGCCATAAACAAAATATTTCATTAAAACTACATATTTTCTAATTGTCATATTCTCACACAATTACCCTCATTACAAACAACTGCTGACTTGGCAGGCACAAGCTGGTACTTGATTAGCAAACACATTTCAACTTGGTCACAGTTCAAGTTGCAGGCAAAGGCATGCTGAAATGGCATGCTACAAGGCAATGCACACTTGTTTTACATCGTAAAAACCCATGTCTGGTTATCTTTGTGTTTCTGTTTTGGGAGATGGTTGGTTGAGCAACATCTGTTTGATCATGATAGTGATATTTATGCCACGTAGTCAGGAATAACTGAAGTAGAGCCATGTCAGAGGTCTGGTCATTTATTTATGGTTTCAAGAAAAAACCCAAGTGTTTGTGCGTTTACGTATAAAATAATTTGTGTGTTTGTGTAATATTGGTAAATATCGGTTATCGGCCATAACAGCAATAATTATATCGGATTTCGATATCGGCTGAAATTTTCATATCGGTGCATCCCTACCTGTCAGTGCCCACATTGTTGGCATTTTTCAAATTTGCCTTGTGGCAGAGCTATCCTGTCACAGGGGGGTAAGTTACACTTTAATGTGTTAGTTTGAGGAGATCATTCTTACCCCGCCCACTTTTCACACAGTTGGCTCTTAATCACACAAACATGAATCAATCTGCACCACATTTTGAGTACATCATAAGGGAGACTGGATGCTTGTGTAGAAGTCTGACAAGATCACTGTGGCCCACTGTCCATCCGTCCGTTCACCTTATGAGATTATTTAAACAATGAAGGCCTGTGATGATTCCAACAAAACTGCTAACAGTTGGTCATCACTGAAGTGCGACAGGAGACATCAGCGATGGTTTGCATCGAGTTCTATCTTGTTCGTATTACTACTACTACTACTACTACTACTACTACTACTACTACTACTACTACTACTACTACTACTGTAAAGCCTCACACCTAATGCAACCTGATATAATTTGTCCTATTGTTTTGAATCTAAGGGTTTATATTGCGGTTGGGCGATAATTCCAAAAAAAAATTAATCATGATTAATTGTGTAATTTAGCTGATAACGATGCCATATTAATTGTCAATAATATGACAATTAATCTCCTGAAGTCCCAGGACCCCTGCACATTCTAGTCACAAGACTAATTTAAATCACTAGTGGGAAAGATACAGCCTCTCTAAGAATCTGTTGATAGTTGAGGTGAAACCAGAGCTATGACAAATAATTTGCAGCACTTTTTGTTAATGTTCATTACAACTGATATGCATTGCAGCAAAAGCCAGTGAAAGACAGGCAGATTCATAGAAAAAAAAAAAAACACCTCAACCCACGCTGCCAAATAAACGGAAAACCCCCAAACTCCTTTTAGAATGATGCCTGAAATTATTTGACAAGCGCCAAAAAGATCTACAGAATGAAGAAACAAAACGATGTGAAAGTTGAGTGAAGTTTGGCAGTGATGGAGAGACAGTGAGCTCGGGACTGAGCAATGAAATTTGACAGATTTAGATTTAGAGTTCAGATTTTATAGTTAGGGTATAATTTTGTGTGATTTGCCTTTAGCCAGTGTCTTTGAGTCGTAACGATGAGGTGATATTTAAACATGGAGATACAACAGATTGAGCTGCAGCAGAGCTACAGACAGATGGATCAAACCACAGTCTGAACCTTTTCAGAGAAGAGGGAACAGTCTTCGACAGATTGAGGACTTTGACAAGGAAGTAGGCAAGCCATTATTTGGAGATGAGAACTGTTAAAAATTACATATATTAAACTTACTGAATTTATTCGTGTATAATACGATCTCATGTACAGTATAATATGACCCCCCACCTTTCTGAGCTTAAAAAGCATAAAAAATTTAATTCTCAAACTACTTTCAATTTTTTTACAGACTTCAAGATTTTTCAGCCTTTGCAGTCTTTACACACATCAGTAAAATGATCATTGGACTGTTCATTTTATTTTAACAACATATGTACTAAAA